TATGGGAAAGCCCGTGCGAGAAACTAAATATGGATTTTTTTATTAAAACCTTAAATTTTTTTTGGCAAATCGAAAACTGGATTTTCTAACCAGTTGCATTCAGTTTTTATCGCAACCGGTTTTGCGTCATTCTAAAATTTGGAACTGGATTTATTCAAAACTGATTGGACCTGAATTTAAACAACTTCTAAGCCGGCCGGCCCTTTCTTATGTATTACTTTATAAAAAAATTATAATAAAGATTTCACTTCAAATTTTTTAAGCATGTGTGCGTGTTTTATGTTCTCAAATATAAATTTTGTGCTCACTTATCAATTAGCGTTAAACTTCTTAAAAGAGAGAGCAAAGAAATAACTTGATGCTGGGACTCGCATTAAATGGTCTAGGATCTGCGTACTCCCTCCCTCTTTGATAGCATCATAAATTTCTAGCATTTTTCTCTCCGTGACTTATTAATGTAATCTGAATAAAGTAATGTTTTTAAATTAGATCAGAATCATGTGACTACTACAAAATCTATATGATGAGTCACCTCTGTTATCACCACCATTATGAAGGTTGTCGAGATGGACAACTATCTACAAATTACTTTACCAAAACTGTGGAATCTCGACGATTTTGTTTCTTAGTGCGGTTCATATGAGAAATTTAAAGGTGATAAAGTGAAGATTCTTGATCACATGAAGAAACGACTTGAGAAGACTGCCAATAACAATTTGATTGAAGAGGACATACGGCAAAAGGCCAAAGATCTTAAAATGAAATTTAAAGTGATATATTATGTATGAATAGCATATGTTGGAGATAGGATTGTATATATCATGAAGTGACTGTTCGTTGTTTCTGTTGCTACAAATCTAAAGGGATAATGGAGTTATGGACTGATCCAGGAGACTGTTTGTCAACTGGATGATCGACTGTTCATCTGTCCTTCTCTTCAGCCTCCTGTGAAACACTGAAACTATTCATTACCATGTGTTAGACTGTTCGTTCATCATGGCCCTTTATGCTCTTTAACGTAACAAGAGTTTGATTTTTGTTTATGTATTATTGGCCATTTAATCATTTCTTTCATGTTTCGCATAACAGTCATGGAAATCTTCACAAACAACAATGAAATTTTTCAAACAGCTTGAGATTCGTTATAATGCAAAGCAGAAATTAGAAGAAATTGAAAGCCAAAAGGCTATTGAGCTCGCCGAAATCGAATGTATGAAGGTACTTCTTATCTTTTTATACATAACATACGACTTTCTTGCTATAATACGCTATCTGTACTAAATAATTTTAACATGTATATGCTACAGGTTTCTCAATTACGGAACAACACGGAATCAGTAACAAAGATTCATCAGCATGTTTCTGACGGCTTATTAGGATTTACTAAAGAAAATACAACAAAAACTCACGTTAGTTCATTAGAATCTGATCGCGAAAGTAATTCTGGTAAAAAACAAGAGTCTGTGAGTATCTTTAACGAGATTCATAACTCAAGATTAAAGATTTCTAATTTTGTTTCTGTCCATTAAAATCAGCTTTAGAACAGGGCTTATTATTACGAAAGACAATTACTAATAAGTTTGAAAGACGCGTTTTAGACGATAGCTTAGAATTAGGGCAAAAACGGAAAAAAAATCTGTCATTATCAAAGGTTAGGATATAACAATCATATTTTTTTTATATAAAATTTTGCCTTGCGAATATTTTTTCTTAATAACTACTTTGATATCTGTAGAATAAAGAATCAAAGAAGGTATGTATAGAATGCAACCCTATGATGAGATGCAAATTCTCTAAAAATTTTCTTGTATGAACAGGCCAAAACCACCGGCAGGAAAAAAGAAAACGTGGATCACAATATTGATAATTCATTCATCAGTAATTTATCATCAAGTTCAATTAAAACTGCACGAAGTTCCTTCATGTCTGCTTCCCTCAATAACAAACAAGATCTTGATAGCATATCATCTAGCTCAGAAGGAAGGGAGACCAAATCCGTTGATGTAGTTCAAGTTGAGGAAATTTGGGAACTTACTTAGGTATTTTATTATTTGTAATTTTTGTAATTTTATTGCTTTTATAAATAATAACTATATTCACTTCTATTTATTTTTCTAAGATGAAATAAGCATCCGTAATAAACTACTCACCATTTTGTCTATACAACAAGAGAAGGATATAAAGTCTAGAAAAGATTTTTTATCATCACCATCTCTTAATAATATTATCGATTTATCTAACAATGAGATGCAAACAGAAGTTATTAAATCTTTAAATACAAATCAAATTGACTGGATTAACAAATTTCTCAGTAAAAAAGTCTGGAATCAAACACGTGAATTTCAGCAATATATAAGTCAATTCAATGAAGGTGTGTGCGACAGAGTACACATTCCTGTTCTTGTTCGGGAGTCCTTTGTTCCGAAAGGATCGTTTAATTCTTACATTCATGAGGCTCACGACATCGCTCAACAAATTTTGACTCATTTGTAGGTATTTATTTAGAATATTTGAATAATCCATCAACAAATAACTTGACTAATTCTTTTTAAATAGTTCTGTACGTCTTAAAGCGCCAAGAAGGGTAAAGTCTGAAAGTCTCAACATACTCGATCGATACAATAATATATATTATCAACAGACTGTTTCGTATGCATCAGAATGTTGTTGATCTTGTGTGGTAATATCAATTGTTAAATTCAAAAATTTTGAGCTACTAGCTTATTTATTCTCTATTAATCTATTTAGGATAGAGTTAACTACCCCGATATGAAAAAACATAAAATCGACGGACTAACTAAAATTATCAACACAACTCAAAAGAATCAAACAATAATATTAATTGAGTTCTCATTTTGCAGGCGGACACCTCAATCGAAAGAAGACAACAATCAGATTAAGTTATACAGGAACTCTATGAGAACTCTGAACAAATTATTGCAAAGCATATCTAAAGACATTGCAAGAGTTTATTTGATACAATTTGCCAGTAAGTATCTTAATTACACATATTGATTTGATGTTGAGTAATAAAGGCCTAATAATTTATGGATATCTGATTATTTATAGATGGTTTGGCTAAAATCAAGTACCTAGTTTGTCTATTGTCATTGATCTACATCCTTCAATTATTTACGTGTATTAAAATACCTGTATCTTTCGATGACTTCGAACAATTTGCAAAAAAACTTGTTGATTTGATGGAATGGCAGGTATAAGTTGGAAATGTCTAAATGTTCACAATATGATCTTATCAAATACTAACATTAACTGATTTTGGTATTGTAGGTTGATGTATTATCAACAGTTAGAAAAATGAATAAAGTCACGATTAGAAATACACACAACCATATAACCTCATTGCAAGATACACCAAAAAAGAAAAAGGAAGCGAAAAAAAATCAACCTTCATCTCCAAAATCCCCATGTCCTAGTAGATCAATTTCGGAATTACCATCACTGATTTAGAAAATAAGAAACTAGATCCTTTTTTTATGCTAATGTTTATATTTTTTTCTTCGTATAATATTCTAAGCAAAACAATCAATTAATTTTTCTGCATGCAATGTGTTTTTATTCATAATAATACGCTGAAAATAGTCATGACAGCCAAAAAATATAATTGTGTACGCTATTAAGTATTAACTATTTTTGCTAATTAATGTAAATGTAATATATCAAATTTACAAAATTATTTTCTTGTAAAGTGATTAATATTACCAGCATTGTATTAACTAAACCATACAGTATTTTTGATCGATAAAAGTGATCGGCATTCTTTTTCAGAACACGCACGTGAATGTTTATTTATATAACATGAGCATATATGCTATTCATCCAACTTTAAAAACGTGTTCCATCATAATCTAATTGCGAGAGGATCATTAGATGCTTTAGTAAAACCAAAGACCATGAAATTTCTATCTCGCAAATGCTTTTCTTTGGATCATCCGTATATTGACACACATGTCTTCTCGAAATCCACTCCTAGTGGAATCGTAAAACAAGATTTTACAGCTACGAGCTGAATCATTTATATTCTATATTAATAAAGTGACTCTAGTCGATTTACATGTACACATTTTCGTGTGAGTAGATGTGCATCAGAAAAATACTTATATTCCCGTTTTTTGATTGATTTTTTTCTTGATGAACTATTCAAATAACATATTAATTTATAAGTGAAATTTTTTTTGACAGAAACCGTTACCATTGGTAACGATCAAAGTCTTAGTATTTTTTTGCATTTTTTTCTCTGGCTTTAAACATATGTGCGAAAAGGCAAGACAGTATCAATGTGGATGTAAATATGGGTAGGGCTATGATAGGAAAACCTTTTCATTATCAACTATAACGGCTTTGTCTAAGGATGACATTAAATACGTAATTGCTAAAGTGCTTCAGGATAGTCAATAGTGTATTATGCCATACATTACTGCGCCTGTGACTTGACACGTCCAGCAATATCTATTATAGTGTAAAAAAAGTGTTCTGAAAACATATATTAATAAAGTTTAGCCTATTCGGCTATTTATTTTTTGATTGATACTGACTACTATATAATTAATAGACACGCATATCCAGATTTTTTGATCAATAGTGACACCACATAATTAGTGAACATGCATGTTCGGATTTTTTTGATCGATACATGCCTGTCCAAAATTTTCTTATAAGTGCCTCCCTTGCACCTTTGATACTGCGGGGGTGACCTACATTAATAGTATAACCCCTCACTTGATATCTTATCTGATAAATATGAGGAATTAAACTGCCCCTTACCAGTCATCTCGTGGTTTATAGAAACTCGTCAGCTCTTGGAACTCTTCTAGAATTACCGAGGAACTGGCAGGGCTGAATCAAAAAAATATGAATCTGTCTTCATCGGAATAATTGAATAAATTTAACCTGACGTGCTTATATTTATTTTCAAGTGATACTATGATAAAATATTTTATTCACTTTACAATTTATTGCCTTACAGACATGAAAAATACAAAATTTACTAAACTAGTTATTTACAGATATGAAAAAATCCCGCTTTAATACAGAATAGCAAAGTAAATTAATTCGCAATCTGTTTACAAATCGCGCCTTAATGGCAGATATGTGAAAATACATGTTTTTTAATATACTTTCTGCATAGGAGAAAGCATTTCATTGTTAAGATATATATCACTCCTGATCATCAGATTCAGCGTAATTAATAAAAATATTAATTGTTTTAGCATTTTGGGAAAATGAGAACGTCACGGGTCTTAAACTGGAAAAAGTTACAGAGTGTGTTGTTGGTCGTGATCTATTAGGCAAAGGAATTGTTCAAGGTATTCTTAAAGCAGTTCCAGTTCTTGAAGTAGTTCTAAATGATAATGCAACAATTGATCTTGGAATTCTTGATGGTTGCAATCTGCTCGGTGTATTAGATGTTGTCGTTCTTACATTAATTGCTCCTACATTATGATGTTGTCTCCCTAGAAATAATAAACATTTAGGGTTATTCTTTTGTGTTAATTAACCCAAGAATATCACAAAAATAGCCCAATTAAGGCGTAGTGCAAATACTACGTTCTTTCCAAAATTCTGTGGAGAACTCTTTGTAATAATGTTCTCCAATAATACTTCTCTTCTTTTTAACTCCTGTCTTAGCCTCCACACGAGTTTCAGCCTTAGCTGTCTACAATATCAGATCATAGTCAGGTTAAGTAATATAATAACTACAGACCCCCGCCAAAAGTCTCCGAACGCTTTTTGACTCAATGTAAAACTTAAAATTTTAAAGTTTATTAAAAAAA